CTGTTTTCTTCTCTACCTTTTCCTGAGCAAAGACAGATAAAACTAAAAATGATCTTCTGTGACTTGCAAGGCAATTAAAAGCAATGTAGGAATAGATTTGGACCACCTCTTAGCAGCAGCTGGTATGTGCTAGGCCTGTGTTAGTCTGGCAAAGCAGAAAAGTAACTTTATCTTCTCAGAGAAAACTCCAACAACCAAGCCTAGCACTCAATCTTTTAAATCTGAGTAAAAAGAATAAAGCATGCTGCTTGATTGCACCAGAACCATACCCAAAACAAACCAAAGGGTTGGCTGTTTACCATAAAGTTCTCTGCATCTGAAAGCAAAGAACAGAAAGGCAGACAAATATTTTTAAAAGCTTAACAGTTCCATACCTTTAATGCTAGGTTACAAATATTTAAGTATAGTTGTCGGACCCACTACTGTAACAACTTGAGTTTTAAGTACTTACAGTCCAATGTCATCAATTCTCTTAAAAAAGAAGAAAATCGACCTGATGCATAATAGTTTATTTCAGCAAAAGTAATGCAAAAGTAAAGACAGGAGTTAGTTTGCAGTACAAACAAGATCAGTATGTTACCTGCTGTGTTTACAACCCTATAAGCAAGCCATCTTTCAGCAAGGATGCTGGTTTGCATATGCTGCCAGGAATAAGTACAAATGGAAGCAGTTGTACCTTCAGATGATCTTATCTTTTAGGACTGTTTCCTTTTTTCCCCAGTTGAAATTTTAAGGAAGCTTACTGGCTTTATATATAACTGTGTACTTTAACCAGTGTCAGCAAGCCTAGAGATTATGCTTAGAATTGTAAGAAATCGAACTGTAAGATATATCCCAGAACACAGTGCAAGAAGGGTTACTGATCTCAGGCATACTCTTAATCTCTTAAACTCTAAATTTCTGTAACTGCATTGGAAAGCCCCAAATGGGAGGAGCAGCTGCCAAATCAGCAAGAAGCATGTCAATGGAAACCATGACCCATCAATAATACAGATATTTACAGATAGAGAACATTTTAAGACATATACTTAACTCTCCCAGAGATTAGAATCAGATTAACTTGGAGAAAACATACCTCTGGTTTGCTGTCCACAACATCCACTTCAATATTGACTTCTGCCTGTAGGATTTTTTGTTTTGTTTGTTCAATGGCCAGGCTCAACTTGTTGATGTAAGACTGAAGTTCTTCTGCAGAGTCCATGTTCAGCTCCACTAAAGCTTTGTGGAATTGATCCATTTGACCATCTTCCATAAGTTCCTACAGACAGATCAGAGCTGGTTGTGGTGGGTGATACATGGTAATCAAACATGCACTAGCTACATATGTATAGTTTGCCTTTGTTATGTGAGGCTCTGGATGTGCAGGCTCTGCAGCATTCAAAATACCTCACAAAAAAAGTACTATTCAGAACTTGCAGGTATCTTTTGCATCAATTAATTCTTTTTTATTCTGCGAGTAACCTTAGAGATCTCATATCAGAAAAGGCAGAGGATGGTTATGGCTTCTTTACAGCAATACAGGACTTTTTCAAAAAGCTGAGGGCAACCTGCACATCTCCCATAAGACTTGAGAAAAAACTGCCATGATTACCTGTACATAGAGCAGCCTGTCCAGCCTCTCCTGGTCAAGCTGCAGCTTTTCTTCTCTACGACGTGCATTGAGTTCTTGAAGTCTACGTAACTGCTGCTGCCGCCTCTCCTGCTTTTCTTCTGATGTCAGAGTGCTCCCCAGGAGTTTGTTAGAGAAGGGCAGCTGCATCTTGTGCACATTGTTCTCATAGTACTCTGGTGACCGCCACTTCTGTAGTTCTGAACATTTGAGAAGTAAAAGAACCATTCTGTCAGATCGAACAGGATGATTCACACACTGCACTGCTCCAAGCCACGTTCAGACTTAAGAGAAAGCACGCAAAATCCAGCCCAGGATTCTGCCCACTTCTTGGCAGTCACTCCAAGAATTATTTAGCTGCCTCCTCAGAGAACTGCCTTTAAGTCACACTCAGCACAAATGGTTCTTACCACTCTCTTCTCCAGGATGCAGCAAAGCACTGAGAAGTGGGAAGCATGCAACCTCTTCTCTCTTCCCAGTTTGAGAGTTCTCACACGTTTAAAACCACTGCAGGCTCTTTTGCATATGATAAATTGAAGAAAACACTACTCTGTGGCCACTAGGCCACTACTTGAAAACTGTCATGGAGATTTTAGAACTTCATTAATTCATAAAGAAGTCATGAGAACTCTCAGCAATTTTGGAAACCTTAAAACAGATCTGCAAAAACACCCACAGAGGAGAAACGTGGTCAGAAACAATCCTAACCAGCTGAGCTTTCTGTTGGAAGTACAGACTAAAACTACTAATAAAATAAATTCATTCTGACATATTTTCATCTGTAGAAATCTATCACTCAGAAACAAGTCTGAACTAACAAGGAAAAGATTTCTAAAATTCAATCTTGTTTCATGAACTCCTGCAGAACTCAAACTGCTAATAAGCTCCTCACGTGTAACAGATTACAGAACCCTCGTAAGAAAAATAAAACAGCAGTGGAGTCTTTGTACCTGCATCCACGTATATCCAGAACAAGGGATACAGGGCACAGAATTAAGTTTCAGTGAGCACTATTGATCAATACAAAAAATTACTGCTGGTTCTACCTTCTGTATAGTCCTCCGCAATGTAGCTGTGCTCATGAAGTATTTCCTCCATGCGACTGAGAGTGATGGCAGCAAAGTGCCCAGGGTACTTCAGCTGGAGGAGGCGCTGCAGGTACACAGCTGCCTGACAGCCTCCAAGATTGATACGTTTGCAATTTTTAGCATCCAACCTGAAAGTCCAAGAGAAACAACTGAAACTGAAGAGAACTTCACTGTAAGAGACCTCCTGTTCTATTCAGCATTATCATTTTAATATGGTCAAGTGGGGAGATATTTGTAAGTAAATATTTTAAGAACCTGAAAGACTTAACATGTCTATTTTTTCAGGCAGCAACCCTAAGCACTGCATTATTGCTTGGAGATGCATTCTGAAATGCTCTGTTTTAAAAAGCAAACAGTCTGACAGACAAGAAAGCAAATAATTTTAGCTATGGCAACAAAAAGATGTTGTTCTACTTTAAGAAGGGAAGCTATGATTCTGGGCAGCTAAAAGTAGCCCCTCTGGCCTAGGTACGACTCCCAGTTGGCCAGGTCTGAGCCTTACAACTGGAAGCCTTTGCCAGATGTCATAAAGCCTCTTCCTGCAGTAACGATTACAAAAAACAAAGCAAAACTAAACAAAACCTGAGCAATGGGGCCAAATAATCAAAACGATGAAAGTCTTGAGGACTGCAGAAATCCCAGAGTGCTTTTTTTTTTTTTGTCTCAAAACAACTTTAAAATCTAATGCACATTTTTTTTTGTTGCCAGGTCATACTTAGGACGGATATCCTCACCTACTTTTTAAGTACGAAACTAAAAATAAAATATACACCAGGACAGGTTCTTCAATTCAAAATTCAAGTAAATTTCACTTAACCTGGAGTAGTATTTCCTCTTCAGTATAAATTAGGACCTAGCAAGAATTTGTATTGCAGGAGCTGTAAGGCTGAATGCCAGAGGAATAGGTATTGTTACCACTGACAAAAAGAACCTACTAGGTACTTGGGACATTAAGAACTCACCTTCCTTCTAGGACTGGCAAAATATGTGTACACTGATAGCCTGAAGATATCACCAACCCACTGCAAGGCCAGTTCTGCCTCCTGTTGTGGTAAAAGCTGTACAAGCTATCCACGCCATAGGACACTTTAGGAACTTGATAGCATTCAAAGAGGAGCTCTGACATCATTTGCCTTGAATATAAAGGATTGCACACTGCTTCCGTCAAAACTATTGGATGATCAACACAACCCTGTAAGAGACGAGAGAAAAAGAGGAAAATCAAGATTAGATGAACAGAAAAATCCAGAGATACCTTTCCTTCTTTTAAAGATCAGCTTCAAACAGCAGTGAGCACACACTTTATGTGCAGGCTACTGAACACTTACGTCACACCCAGTGTTTAAGGGGTGCCTATAGATGGGTTTCCATATTAATTCAACCCAGGAATAAACTCTGAAATGTGGAGAAGAATGGATTTTAAAGGAATACCCAACAAGTGGAACGTGGTAAGTTCCATGCAAACACATGAAAGAGCTTCACCATGAAGGGAGCAGGGCCACGGGACAGAGCTGCTTTCCACACAGGTTGGACTCCAGAGGTCCCTTCCAACCCCCACAATTAAAGACCCAATTAACCCAAATCTATACAACGTGGGGGCAAAGCGTGACTGGAAACTGCAGCTTTAGTCCAGCCCTAGGTAAAGCTTTCGCATTACGTGGCACAGCAAGCCACCCAGGCACACCAAACGTTAGTCAAGGGAAAACGATCGTATTTCTAGTTGAGGAAAGCGCGCGAAGCCATCAACGTTTCATCTCCGTCTCAGGAGGCGACCCCGGATGGCTGGCCAGGCCGGTACCTGCGAGGAGACCCCGAGGCGCTGGAAGACGTGGTCGAAGAGCAGCTCCTGCAGCTCCAGCTGCACGGGCACGTTGCGGTCGAAGGGCGAACGGAGCAGCCAGCGCAGCGGCTCGGGGCTGCCCAGGTCGTTGCCCACCTGCGTCTCGGCGCCGGCCGCACCGCGCGCCCCGCGGCTGCGCGCCGCCAGCGAGCGGAACCGCAGCAGAGGCTCGGCAGGGACCGAGGGGTCGGCGGCCGCCCAGCCAGCACGCGTCTGGAACGAGCCGTTGTCGATCACCAGCGGCACCGGCTGAGGGCTGCGCACGGCCGCGCTCGGCGCCAGCACCGGGTCCGGGGCCCAGCGCGCGTCGCGGAAGGCGAACACCCGCCCCGCCGCCATCTTGGGCGTCCGCACCGCGTCCGGGCGGCAACGCGGGCCGCGCTCGGGTTCCGGGCTGCGCTCTCTGAGGAGAGCTGGGCGACCGAGCTGCGGGCGGGCACGCAAAGCCCACAGGTGGATGGAACAGCACTGATTTCTGCTTGGTGATCTGGAGGGCCCTCTGCTCAGCTTTTGTTCATCGCTTTTTATGAAGGAATTTTAGCACCTCCATCGCGTGCAGCTCAGTTTGACCCGTAAACCCGCTGCTGCTGCACAGCAGTTAACACAGCAGCACGTTACCAAGTTACCACGGCCGCCTGTCTGCTCCTAATTCAGCTCCTACAGGGCTCCTTTATTAGGCAATATGTAGGGTGCATGTCCTATGAAGCATGCTAGCTTGCCTTTCTTGGAGTGAAGGGAAATAGGAAGGCAATTCATATTAAAGTATATTTTCCCGATGGATTCGCTGATAGATTGAAATGTGCAGAGAAGGTTACAAATGGGACCTGTACTAATATGGGATGTTTATGTACTCCACGTCAAACAAGAGCACCTGGGATAAGCAGTTTTTAACTAGCTAGTAGTTATGTTCTAAATCTCTGCAAGCCTGATTCTGTGTTACTGATTTCTCAGAAGTCACCTTCCCTACCAAAGAGCAATTGAAGTGCTTGGTTATACCCCTGTATTACAAGATATAAGAACCCCTTTAACTACCATTTTAACAGCAGCCTTGAAGGCTTTCTAATTTATTCTTATCCTGTAATTACCAGCTGAAGCAGTGACAATCCAATCAGATGTTTTCCCAGGCCTCCTTATCCCGTGCTTAATCCGTTTCACCCCCTCCCTGCCCTTACAGGGCTGTTCCTTTTGCTGTCCGTGCTGAGGATACCAGTGGTCCTCTTGTGATTAACAGTGATGCAATCAGAGTTATAAAAAGGCAGTTAGTAAAGAACAAGCAAGCTGTTCTAAACTTAGGTTAACCTGAAGCTAGCAATGAAGTATCCTCCAGTTCCTTTGGTGACTGAGCTGACTTTGCCTATTTTCTTTTGCCTTTCTTTGCCATATGTACTAATACTGATCATAGTAGTGATCTGGCTACGGCTCCTACTTAATGAAGGTAAGTTCTGCAGCTGATTGGATGCGTGCATCTGTAGAAAGGCTTTGTCTATTAACTTCATCTGTAAAACGTTCTGTGTGCTACTTTTAGCCTAACGCCTCTCATCACAGAGGGAAAATAAAAGCGTCGCTTTTGTTTGTTGGTTTTATACTTTTGGTGGCATACTGAAAATCAAATGATCACACTCTTCTGTTAAAATGCTTATAAGAAGACTAACTCCTGTTAGCTGCTCTTTTTTTTTTTTCTTTTTCAGAATTAATTCAATTTAAGAAAGATAAAAGTCAAATAACTTTTGTACAGTTCTATTTAAAAGAAATGCTTCCTAATAATTCCGTGTGGTTTCAAACACCAGCATTATAGTTAATCTTCTTTGTCTGTTTTGGGGAGGGAGTGGATTTTACCAGGGGAGCTGTTAAGGGATTCTCTTATTAATGGGGAGGCTGATAAAAACAGTTTCTTAAAGGAGCAGGACGTGCATTTTCATTTATTTACTTTGTATCTCTTTCTGCTCTACCACTGTTCTTAATTCTAACATGTCAGTAACTAATAAGAAGCTTTGGTTTAGGCTAATAATAGGCTTGTTGATGTGCTCCTGGACATAAAGCTTGGCTGGTTTTGCTAATCCTGGAACATATGCAATTGCAGCTAAGGAATCAATCATAAGTTGATTGTTTTCAATCAGAAGCAGTAATTCTGCCTTTGAGGGACAACTGTAGGATGTAGGAAGGAAAATAAGAATAAAAGCCGACTTCAACAAGTCAGGTTCTTACTTGACGTTGTGGTAACTACTTCTATAACAGATCCTACAGGAGACAACCAAATGATTCCTTTGGACCCACAGGCAGCAGTGGAGCAGAAAGTATTCACTACAGCTGAGGCTTATATTTTAATCACCTTTCCTGTCCTGCCTTTGTGTACTCATGCATTTTTTGACTCTCGGCACCTATTTTTCAGTTTTAATGTACAAGTGATGCTCAGAGAAATCTCTGCTTGTTGCTAGCTGTTTCTCCATACATCCAGGTGCACTCTTTTGGATAACTAAAGACAGTGACAAAAGAGTGTAGGCTCTATGGAGCTATGAACTACCCTGAGTAGCATAGGCACAGCTTACTTCTAATATCTGAAAAGCAGAATAAAATGACCACGTGTATTGTGTAGGCAAAGGGTAGCTGTGCCTTGTTCTAACATTGAGTTTGGGTGTCAATTGTTTCTTGGACAGAGTAACTCTGAAATATTTTGATGCTTCTATTGATGTAAATTTTTTTTCAGGTTACATGCACTGCATTTACCTTTATAATACCAGGCCCTAGGATAACTGCTATTTGCATCAGGCTTCCATGATCTTAATTCCCTTTCAATCAATAAGACTACTTACATCACTAAACTTTGCTGTACTCTATCACTCTTAAGAAACCAAATAGAGCAATGCTCTTTTTATGTCTTGTTGACTAATTAAGTCATATCCACTTATTTTATGCCACTTTACACTAGGAACAAGTGGGGAATAAAACAATTGCATAACTCAGCTTTACCTTTAATGTAGATGCTGATTAAAAACTAATTGGTTAAAATCAAACATTTGTACAGGCCCTTGCTGCCTAGCTGGAATTGAAAATCCTTGATTCCAGGTGAAAGGGATTCAGAAGAATTTTATCCAGCTCTTAGAACTACTAACTGTAATGTAACAGATTTCAAAATCTATTTCCAGAAGAGATCCCTCCTGCAGAAGAAACTAAGAAACAGTCTCTGATTGCTGATGTGTCTCATTCTGAATCTAAATTTGAAGATGAACCAACAGGTGATGAAAGCCAGGATGATACAGCAAGTACAGAATTTAAAGAGGACAAACAATCTAGTGGCCCAGTGGGACAACCAAGGCCCAAACCTGCTTATCTGAGTTCAAAGCCAAAAGCAAACTGCCATCTCAGACGGCTGGTCCCAGAACCAAAGATAAAACCCTCCCACGTGGGAAGGAATGTTCTCTGTAACATCATGATGGTGAGTGCATGACCAGACTATCTCTTTGCATATCTGTTGCTTTTGTGCCTCAGCTCGTATTATTATTTTTTTTCCATTTCTGCCTGAGATATCTTCAAGACTGGTTTCTGCTTGGTTAATGAACAACAAGAGGTTTTCTCTCCCTGTCATCCCTATTTGGAATGATTCCTGTTGTATACCAACTAAAGGTAGTACAAAATTGAACAGAACAATTACCATACGTATCTATAAGTGTGTGTATGTATTATTAAGGTATGTATACATATTTGCAAAGTCTTTGAGAACTGCATGCAAAGTCATACAAATCCCAAAAGATATGTCTGAAAGAGTGGAAGAGATTAGGGTTGTGTATGGCTTCTTTCCTTGCTCTTTGCATGCCGTGCTGCAGCAGGGGCTCAGAAGGAAAAACTAGTTCCTGCCTCCTCTGTCTCTGTTCTGTCCTCTCTACTTACATTGCATGGAATTTTGAATTGCAGCAACAGTTACCTATGTTTACTTCTACCAGCTTTGCTGGCTGCTTTGTTAAACTAGAATTGTTAAGGACTGGTATTGTCTTAAATTGCTGTATCTGTTTGACTAGCACACCCTGAAGCTGACCTTTAGCATGGATCCAGGAATATCTCATGTTAAATGATCTTTGACATTACTAATACTAACAAGATAGAACAAGGACAGTGTCATAAGATTTTTTTATTATTATTATTATTATTATTTTTCCATTATTGGTCCTCAAAAACTAGAAGAAAGCATGCTAAGAATGAGCCTGGAATTGCCTAGGTTACCTTTCTTGGCTTTCCTAGAACTCTTTGCATATGTAAGCATTCACTTATTCAGAGCAGTCTGAAGAACTGGAGTTTAAACTTGTCCCTTGTAACATAAGACCCATAACACCAACAAACTTGTTGGTTGTGTTGGGTGGACAAGAGAAGGGATAACCACGTATGGTCTCACATTATTTACATCCTACTGAAAACTGAACCTATTCCTAAAATGTGATTTCCATGGCAATTCTCTTCCCCTTTTCTTCACCAGCTGCTGTGCTCCATGCTTTGTTCTCTCACCTGGACTTTTCTCAGCCATTTGCTCCAGATCTGTAACGTCCTGAGGATTCAGCTGCTGCCATCCTCTCTGGTTGTCGATGTGGCTCAGCTTTATGATTTGCTGCGTGGAAATGTTGTGAAAATCCTGGGCTCCCCAAGGCTACAAAGCAGAGGGCTGTTAACTTCAATCCTCGGGATGAGATACAAGAAAACAGAACAGAGTGCAGCTCAGAGGACTGCCTCAAGGTAGCAGTGAAGCTGGTAGTTCTATGACCTTTAGCAGCAATCCTGTTCAGCATCAGTGAAAGCTACTCTAGCGTGGTTAGGGGAGGTTAATTCTCTAATAAAGAAATGCAGTCAGGACTAAACTGATGCACTCAGGTCACAACAGCTGTTTTCCAAGTGACCAGTATTGACTGGTTGTATGTTATTAAATGAACCACAGCAAGTAGCATCTCATGGCAGAGCTTAGACGTGTGCTCTGCTACTCTCCTACTGCAAAGTATAAATCACTTTCAGAGTGACTAAACACCCTTTAGCATGTATGGAGCTGTGCAGAATACATCCCTTTTAGCACATGAGGTTGGATTCCACTGCCAGAGACAGTCCCTGCCAGCTCCGTGGGGCCACGAGGGGGCTATGCTATAGTTCTGTTCCCTAAAGGTTCATGGGGGGCCGTTTGCCCATTGCTTTGTTACACGTGTTGCACAATTGGTTTTAAAAGACAAGTTGAAAATAGGGAATTGCAGCCTAGGAAGCACGCTGTCATTGAGAAAACATTTGTCCCTATTCCTGAGGTGAAGAAAACTCTCCACAGCCCTGCATGGGGAGACTGTGTAACGGTTCTGCTGCCTGTAATTACGAAGCATGCCTTGTTTGCGTTTGTCTTTCCCACAGCTGTCCACGCGTCCAAATATTTATGCAGGGCAGCATGCTTTTAAATAAAACTTGTTTGCTCGCTGTCTTTAAATCCGTGGTCATTTATTTCGAGGACACATATACGGATACGCTATTCATCAGCCGTTTGCTGAGCAAATCGCCTTTACACATCCGCGGAGCTGCGTACCGCACCGAGCAGCGCGGCCGGGCCAGGTGCGGGGGGAGCCGGGCGGGGCGAGGCGGCGGGGCGGAGCGCGCAGCTCGGAGGCGGCGGGTGCTGCGGGTAACGCTATGGGGAGCCGCGGCGGTGCGTGAGGGAGGGGCGGGCGGCTGCTGCTTTCGTGCTCTTCTTTCTCCGTCTTTTCTCGCCTTGCCTGCTATTGTTTGCAGAGCGCGTCCGGGCGACGGAGAGAAGAGCGCCGGTTGGTGGTCTCGGTGTTTTTTTTTCTTCCCTTTTTCCACGCGGTCGCTGTGCGCGGAAGGGCAGCTCTCCCGAGCGCGGAGCCGCTGCGTGCAGGAGCTCGGCTCCGCGGTGGGCTCTGCTCACAAAGGAGCCGCGATGTGCCGAGGCAGCCGCCAGCCCGCGGGGAAGGAGTTGGGAAACTGAGATGGGCAGGTAACCGGTGCCTGAATATTGCTGTTCGTGGTGATGCGTTAAAGCCCAGGAACACTAAAATTATGTGTTTCGAGCAGTTTTTAGGCTGTGTAAATACTCTCGGAATAGCATTCTCGCGGCCGGGCCGCTGGCGCTCCCGCTGTCCCCGTAATAGCAGCGGGGTCGGTGCCCGAGGAGCTGCCCGGGGAGGCTGGGGGCACTGCAGGAAACACCGCCCGGCTGAACGTGCCGGTGGAGCCGTGCGGCTTTGGGGCGTGCAGCCTGCTGAAAGGAACGCGGCCGGACACTTCTGGGGAGCGAGCTTTATTTTTTTGTACGGGATGAATGGTGTGTGAGTGTGACACGGAGGTGGGTCTGAGCACAGAGGTGGTTTGAACTCTGCAACACAGATGCTGCGGTTCCTCTCTGTTAATACGGTCTGTTTCTCTCATACAGGCTGCAGTGCCTGCCCTGGGGCTTTGTGCGGTGCCTGGAGCTCGCAGTAGATGTGGTGTGGTTCCTCAGCTCCCTTATGGGCTGCAACGTACCTGAACGGCATCCATGAATTTGTGCTTTGGTTTCCCTTTGCGTTATGAGCAGAAGCTGCTTTCTGGGCATCAGCAGGAGTGCTAGAGCACGCAGAATTTGGGCAGCTGTAGAACTTCTTCCAGTGTTAGCTTGTTGGCAGTGATTGCAAATAGAAACTTCTTTGAAATCAAGGCTCCTCTGTGGATTTGGGTTCAATTCATGCATAAGGGCTGTTCACCTGGGGCAGCACACCGTTTTGTATGCACCCAGCAGCCTCTGTCCTAGGGCACTCCCATTTACTTCCAAGTACGTACCTTCCTTACCTGGAACAGTGGCTCCCAAAGCCTGGGGAGGACTGCACAGCAGTGCTGGCAGTTTCTTCTGACAGAGTTCCCTCTCTCAGCTGTATTTCAGCAGTTTCTTCTGACTGAGGCAAAGCCTCCAGGGAGCCAGAAGCCTGCGCTGCTGTATACCAGACGTAGGTGTGTTATGACCTTTTGCACATCACTTAATCTCCCTCTTTTTTTTTTTTTTTTTTTTTTTTTCTTCCTTCCTTCTTATTTGTAAAGCATTTACTTTACAGGCATGTTGCAGAGGTGGGGTTGGATAAACATTCTTAAAACTCCATCAGGAAGTATTGTGCACTGAAAAACTTAGTAACCAGTTTTGCTCTCCTCTGAGCTTCAAAGCCTGGAAGAAACTGCCGAAAGACACAGACTCTACTTTCATGTAAACTGAAGTGATATAATGTGTTTTGGTGGATTTACGTGATGAATGTGTCCAGAAAGCGATATGTTAGAGCACTTACGGGTAAGGCAGCTGGGTGCTGCACTGCTGCTGGTTACTGCCTTCTCCTGGAGGAGTCCTGGGGTGATTCAGCTGGGCTGACATCTGCTGTTGGTGCTGAGGAATTGGGGTTTGTGTGTCCAGCTGCATATTGGAAAACAATGCTCAGGATTTGGCTCGTGACCCAAGAAGATGCAGCAGCAGCAGCGCTGTGCTTGGGGTGCTCAGGAATTTATTTTATTTGAGGTTGCCTTTTTACCATTTAAAGGTGCAACCCAGAAATGTTGTAATGCTTGACATCAGTTGTCAAGGCATTATAAATTGAAAGAGGTGGTGGCCCAGCATGCCATAAGGAAAGCTATTGTTCCCTCTGAGTACACAGGCATGCTGAGATGCAGCCTGCACAAGTGGCTCCTTCACATATCCTAGCTGGCCAAAGCCCTCTATGTCCTGCTTTCACTTCAGTGCCGGCCCTGCTTTAAGCAGGGTGGGGAAGGAGATGGTGACCTGAGGATCCTTGCAGGAGTTGTGATGGTTTGGGAGCTTGTTCTGGCTGGGTGAGGAGGGAAGATTCTTTTTTAAATCCTTTAAGACTTGGAGGTCGCAATATAAGACTAAGGTTTTCTGCCTTTGTACAACTTCTAGGCTCTTTGTTCAGTGAAACTCTTGCTTACTTGGGGAAGTTATGGCCCACATGCTTCTATTTGAGCAGTTGAAGTGCTGCATAAAAATGTCTTGGTCCTGACATAGTGTTTGAGCTTTCCTGTTGTGAATGTAAAATCCATATGGTGTTGCTTCTTAATTGAAACCTGATGGAGTTATTTTTAATCCTGCAACACGTTATACGAAATAGTCCTCATGCAGCTGACTTGAAAGGATTGCTTGTAATTAGATGTTTCTAATCAGTTGGTATTCCTTTCCGTAATGCTGTTTCTTTCTAACAAAAGTGATTTTGGTTTGTTAATTAAAAAAAAAAAAAGCCTCCAGCTCACCAGTGCCAGGCAGGAGTGTGAGTTCTGCTTATCAGTGAAATATTAAATAAAACAAGAAAATGATAAAAAAACTACCTATATATCAAATATGGCCTGTATGATTTACTCATTACATTATGCCTTAGGCTTTAGGTAGAAGTCAGCAGCGTGGTTAATCATGTGGATAAATCCTTCCAGGTCTGTTGTGCATTTAAAAAGCTTGTCTGAACTCAGAACCCATTGCCTGAAAATGTAGGACTCTAACTAGGTTTTAGGTTTGGATGTTTATAATACTTTCTGGTATTTGCTGTTTGGTAAGACCGTTAGGTCAGCTCGCAGGGGAGCGCGTTCTGTGATTGCGAAGAAGTTTGGAAAAAGAAATACAAAAGCTGATGTAGCTTAAAGCATATTCCCCAAAGCAGATTACTCCAAGAGTCTGGAATGTGTTGGTGGGAGGTTATTCAGTTTTAGTGAAATGTTGCTCTGTGCATGCAGGAGTTCTTCCCCTCCTAAATAATTGTTTCCATCTGCATTGCGTATTCCACCGGTGCCTGGGCTGTTGAGCTCTGTGCAAAATCTGAGGCTCTTGTTAAAATGAGGGTCTTTGTCACTAAATCTTCTGTGCTAGCTATGTATGACTGAAATGTTGTTATCACATGGAAAATTAGGAGGGCAGTCCTCACTGGGAGGCCTTTTAAATTAAGCCACGTCCTGGTCTCTTTTTCATGTCCTCTTAAAGTTTTAGAGATTGAAGCTCTGGGACCCTCAAATCTTCTTGCATAATGCCTGGCAATGCTAATGTTAATTCACTGGTCTGAGTTAGTCATTTAGTTTTTATTTTAATATGAAATTGTGTCCCTTTGTTATAACTGGAGATGTCCCAGACTTGAATACTGTGGCTGCTGATCAGTGAGTTGTCTGCCTGAACGTACACACTGCCATCCTATGGCAGAGCACGGACATAGGAGATGATCCTGAATACGTTGTATAGCTGAGACCCAGCACTTTTGTAACAACTTGGCTGAGACCCAAGTACGTTTGTACTGCAGGAATTCCTATTTGTTGATTGCTGTAGCACTGAAGTGCTGATCTCTGTGTCCTTTTTGCCCTTGTGCAGAACGTGCCTCCTAAGATGATGAACTTGGAGAGAAGTGGAGGACTGCACCAACACGTTACTGTTAGGAGTTTTGGAAAGGAAGTATCAAGGAGGTGGAGAACACAAAGGCAGGGTCCTGTCTGACCATCACTCTCTTACTGTTCAGTACTAACACAGTGAGCAGCCTGGGCATTGCTGGAGTAGTGACAGCAAGCTCCTGATCAAGTGGTTGTGTGTTGGTTTTTTTTTTGCTGTTTTTCTAACAGTTATCCCTGCCAGGCTACCTAATGCAGCACAAGAGACCATTATAACTAAGAGCCAGTATAATGACATACATTGTGAACACTCATCGTTCCTTCAGCTGAGAAGCTGTATCACATCTGCTGTGATGTGATGTGCTGTGATGTGGTGTTTGAAGCACCTGGTTTCTGACTTAGTTGATGCCAATTAGTTGAGGTCAGGTAAATGCCTGTTTCCTGGAGGAGGTGGCATGGCAGATGTCTTCATCTTCAGTGCCTGCTGAACCTTCACTGGGCTTCATCTGCCATGGAGAGCATCTGAGAAGTCTGCTTCCTTTGGCTAGCCTGTGGTGTGTGGTCTCTGGGATGGCTGAGCAGTGGTACTGCCTTGGTTTAAACCCCAAAGGGATTGCTGAAAATAATCTGGGTTTCTTGAATGTCTGTTAGGCCTTGGGCCTAAGGCAAAGAGTAACACACAGCTGGGCAATTCCCAGTGAGAAGTCGGTTCCCTTACATTGCTGCATAGGGTGACTTTATAGCACAGAAAAGTGGTTTCCCTGTTGGTGCAGTGGGGAGGGAGGAGGGTGTAATATCCTACAGAACGTGCAGCTGGCTAAGGTCATATGTCTGAAGCTTGAAATTCTGCTTCATCGCAGGGCTAAAATAATTGAAAATATCCTTTATCATCCAGGAGGGGAGATGACTTGTATGCATTGTGGAGGTTGTAGCTGTTCTTTGTCTGGCTCCTCTGTAGTGCAGGAGGAGTTAATGTAAGTTCTTGAGTGAACAGGAGCCTGTAGCTCTTGGTAGGACCATAGCAGGTGGCCAATATATAATGGAACTGGAAGGATATCCTCTTTTGGCAGCAAATAAATACAGCTTTGCTGATGAAAGTTGTTTTTCTCTGTCAAGGTAAAGCTCGGACAATGTTAATGTTTGAAAA